TGATTGGTATGAGGGTTCTGCTGGATATCAAAAGAGAGAACTCTTAAATCTCTGGAGTTGTCTCTCTCTGTAGCTTTCTCTCTCTAGAAATCTGTCCTTCAAGCTGGAGCAATGTTAAGGCTTATCTGCTTTGTTTCCTAACTCTCAAGGACCTTCTTTGTTTGATATCTGGTGTCTTGAAAGCCATGGTTTCATTTTTTTTTTCTGACCTTTTGGTTGTTTCAGGTAGGAGATTGAGCCTGGGCCTTCCCACTCCATCTTGGCAGACAACAGACGTCTTGGTGCTGGGCTCTTAACTCAGTTTCCAATTATGTAGAACTAGCCAGATTTTGACTCCCACTTTGAGGATGTTCTTGAGCGCATCTGATTCCTCATCTCCCTACAACCCTCATAACCATTTGATTCCCAGAAGTTAAATGAATGTGCTGTACTATTTTCTTGGAATTTTCTTCCAGGCTGCTGACACCCATTTTGCAAGTTTGATACTGACTGTTTTGATGTTAGTGCCTATGCGGTTAGAGGTAACTATGGCAGGATTATTGCCTCGGTGAGAAAGAATATAAGGCACCAGTGATTGTGAGATGCATTCTGATTTCATATATGTTAAAATGTGAAATATGGTGGAATCAATGAAATATGGCTTTTTGACTCTAGTGACAGTAGGACTTTCAGATTGATATAAGCATGAAATCAAGGATGGCTCCAAAGTTTTTTGTTTTGTTTTTTTAAATATATCTTTATTGATTTCAGAGAGTGAAAGGGAGAGGGAGAGAAAGAGATAGATACATCAATGATAAGAGAGTCATTGACTGGCTGCCTTTTGCACGCCCTATACTGGGGATCGAGCCTGCAAACCAGGCATGTGCCCTGACCAGTAATCGAACCTCAATCTCCTAGATCATAGGTCAGTGCTCAACCGCTGAGCAACACTGGCTGGGGCACCAAAATTTTTTATCTAGACAAAAACAGGGGGCAGGGGCGGGGGAAGGAAGCATGTTGTTTGGCCTGTCCAGCATCTGGCCTCCATTGTGCAATTACTGATAAAATGGGGGCAGGGGCAATATGAAGGGCTCATCTTATTTTATTGGATGTATTTTTAAAGTAATGAAGTTGGCATGAAGATTAAAAATATACCATTAAAACCTCCTCAAGATCAGCAGACTATTTTTACATATAGCCAAATGTATTAACAAGGGCTCTTTCATCAAAAAATAATAATGATAAGATTATCAGCCCCAAGGCTTAGAGCAGAGTCTTTAAACACATCAACTTATCAACAGGTCTAAATCTAAAAATAAGATAAACTCAGATTTCAGAATAGGAAATCCTGTCTTTTCAGAACTTAACATTTTTATTATCACCTTTCTCTGATACAGCAATGAATTACACAGAAAAATCCACATATGACAAGGTTACAAATGGATCTCAAATGCTCTATAGAAATATGTGGAATATATATATGTATATAGTAGAAAGTTTTTTTAATCCTCACCTGAGGATATGTGTTTTGAGTTTTTTTATTGATTTTAGAGTAAGAGGGAAGAAGGGACGGAGGGAGGGAGGGAGAGAGAGAGAGAGAAACATTTATCGGTTGCCTCCTGTGCATGCCCCTATTGGGGATCGAACGCCACAACCTAGGTGTGTGCCCTGACCAGGAATCAAATCCACAACCTTTTGGTGCACAAGACGACATTCCAGCCAGCTGTGCCACCCAGCCAGGGCAATAGCTGTATATTTTTTCTTACAAAATCTTTTAGGTATAATCCTTGAGAACAATTTTCTTGAAAAAGGACATTTACAACCCATATATGTGAAAAAACAAGATTTATGATTCCCATGGAAACCTGGTCATAGAGCGGTGTGCCTTTGGGGGATAGGGCACCCCGAGGGTTGTGCAGCACAGGGGGAGAGGTGTAGCCACCTGCCTTGCCAGCCGTACCCACCGAGTTACTCCCTGAGGAGCAGGTGATGAAACCGACAGCTCACACATTCTCGGTGTCTTAAACACCTCTCTGTGCACAACAGCGTAATAGATACCAAGTGGAAGAATCGCCAAGACATCTCTCATCATTGAGAATTTATCTTCAAATGAGACAATTATTAATACATATACAACCCCAAGACTGGCTTTTTATCAACATGCAGAAATGAAATTAATTTTTTTTCTACTTGCTTTCTGTCATATTAAGAACATCATATATTAAAGTGTATTCTGAGATGTATCAGCTGATGTTAACAGATAATACGTAAGCAAAAGTTTCCCTGCATGAATACATTCAGGACACATTGGGCTCCCCAGAATGAAATGGATTTTTTTGGGTCAGGGCTCCTAAGATAAATTAACCAGTGTGCTTCAGGAATTTCCATGAACAGGGAATAGCGTGTGGTGTTTTCCACACCTTAACTTTAGGTCTCTTTTTCATGGGCCACCTTGTGGGGCTGCTGCTTTGTTTGTCTTGTTCATCGCTGAACCCCCAGGACCTAGGATGGAACGTGGCACTAGGAGTCACTAAAAAACACTTGTGGAATAAAGTAATAAATTCGCTGGGTGCCCGATGACCTGCCAGTTGTCTGTTAGCTCTGTACAGAATAGGCCGTGACTCCCCCGCCCCTGGGCTGTGTGCTGCCGACAGTTCAAGTTTGCGCCGGGCCGAGCTGCTCCGTGTTGCTCTTAGGCCCCCCAAGTGTTAGAGCAGTGTCAGACGCTCCATTCTTACCTGGTCTGCTCTCCCCACCCTGCCCTCTCCCCCCAGCAGCCTTGGAGGCTCCTCCCCATCTTCCTCGGGGAGCATACAAAGGTTACGGCATCAGCTGCAAGCTGGGCCAGGGCCCTGGGTGTGGGACGTGTCACTTCTCAGCAGAGCCAGAGGGAGGCCGCCCGAGCAGCGTGTGGGTCAGAGACTGCCGCCAACAGAAAGCTTCCCTTTTGCTTGCACTTTACTTGACCCGTGGATAAACAAAGACGTTCTATTTCTAGAAATCCCATTGTTTTAACTGCTTTGAGTTTCTTTTGTAAACTTAAACATCCATGTCTATGCCAGGCGTTTCGAGTCTGCGGGCCCAGTCTGAACGGTCTTTGTTCACTCTCTCTGTTCCCCTTACGTGTTTTGTTCTTCTAAGCCGCGGACTCTCAGCTATCTGAAAGTCAGCCTTTTCTTTAACAGTGTATGACATTAAAAACAACTGGGAGGTCGCAGTGTGAGTAGAATATCCAATATTGCAGAGAACTTGATAAATGTAACCTCTTTGGGGAAGAAATTGAAGGCTTGTGATTCTTTCTCGTTCGGCTGGCTGTGTGGTAGGAGTCTTGAGGCATTTAAAACATCCTAAAAACAAACAGTCTTTCAATTCCTGTTTTCAAGGAGATTTGGGATAGAGGGAGGAAAATAATATTTACAGAATACTGTGTTCCAGGCTATACATTTATGTATCTATATCTATATCCATACCTGTATCTCTTCACAACAATATCACAGCTAAGTGTTGTTATCCCTGCTCTACAAACAGAATAACTGAGGATCAATGAAGTTGGGGAACTTATGAGATTCTTTTATTGAAATTCAGTTCACCCAAAGACAAGATGATATGTTGAAGTTCAGAAAAATTGGCTACCTTTTGAGATTCTTGATATAAGCTAAATTCTTCCAGGGATGGGATGATAATGTATAATATTGGAAAGATGTTTGTGAAACAGAGAATCCCACAGTGCTTCTGACTATGCTGGTGAATTTAAAACACCTGCTGTCCCTGGCCTTCTGTTCTTGGACCTTGGTTCCTCCTCATACTTCTCAGAGGCTTCATTTCTTCATCGTCCAGTGGGGATAGTGGCATCTTCTTTGCCTGTATTAACAAGTTTTGGGTGAAAGAATAAATAGTATAATTCAGGTGAAAGCGAAACTCTTCAGCGCAATGCAAATACAAGGTATTGTCACAAGCGACGTTCTAAAGAAGAATGCCGGTGATGTGTTTGGGGTGCATGTATATACCTTCAATTTTTTTAAATGTAGGTTTGGGGACTGCTTCCAATGAGTTTAGGCTTAATTGCAAGCATGGTAAAAAGCAATCCATTTTTAAATGATCTGTAATTTAGCCAGTTGTTGTTTTTTTCAAAACAGAAGGTGTGTCGGGGAAATATGAATAACCATTTATGGGACACTTCCTATGTAGAGTAGTCAATGCAGATAGAGTAAAAGATATTGAGGAATTGGAAGGCATGATTTCTGCCCTAGAGGAACTTGAAAACCCTAAATAAACATTTATTTCCCCTATTCTTATCTGTTTTACTTATCCAAGACAGTTCCTTTGCTAGAGAGAAATCCAGATTTTGATATAATAAAGTCATCCTGGGAACATTAGAATTTATTTTCCTTTTGTAATTGAACACAATTGCTCTAATCTAGAGAAATTTGGAAATATAAGACCAGGATTTAAAATCAGAAATGAAAACTTGCAAATCCATTCTTTCATATATCAAAGTTCACATATATTTTTTGAAGGTCAGATCCCCCATGACTTACCTAGTGAGCAGCTTTTCTGTTGTATTTTATTTTGAGAAAACTAAAAATTTTGATTCCCAAATGTGATGTTCCCATTTCAAAGACTTAAAAAAAAGATTGCCACCTTGGCCAGTGTGGGTCAGTGGTTAAAGCCTCGGCTGCACACCAAAGGGTCACGGGTTCGACTCCCTGTCAAGGGCACGTACCTGGGTTGCCGTTCGCTCCCCACCGCCAGTCGGGGCGCATGCAGGAGGCAACCTGTGTGTGTGTGTGTGTGTGTGTGTGTGTGTGTGTGTGTGTGTCCCCTCCCCGCTCCCTCCCTTCCACTCTCTCTGCAAAAGCAATGGAAAGATCATCCTCTGATGACTGTTAACGACAACGACAAAAAAGATCGGTCATTTTGTTGGGGGAGAGCGGGGTTGTAAATCAGCGCCTTTATAGGAGACGATCGGTAATTTTGTATCCAATTATGTGCTTTTAAGACTTTGCTTTGTTTCTCTCTAGTGGATGACACTGTGGTTGCCATTCCCTACGGAAGCAGACATGTTCTCCTTACCTTAAAAGGACCTGATCACTTGTGTAAGTAAACTCAGTTGGTTTCCTTTGAGTATTGGGAATTTTAGGCATCGTTATTATTTATTTTCTGTTCTCAGAATAGATTAAAATACAAACCTCTCCACTCTATCATAAGATGATATTTTGAATGCTTCTGTTTATCTTTTGGTTGCCTAATGAGATAGCAGAAAACTCTGTGGTGATTATCTCTAACCACAGTCATCCTGAAAAATACAGCATAGTTGCTGCCCATAGACTGTTCATGAGTTAAGCCCATTTTATGATTTCGAGAATATTATTTCCCATCTGTCTTCTGCAGTTCCGATCAATCACAGTCTTTTTCTCACCTTGCCTCTCGTTTTGTGTTTTCTTCTTCCTTCCTCTCCTTCCTTCCTTCTTTAATTCTTCCTACTCTCATGTTTCATTCCTTTATCAATTCAGAGGAACACAGAAGCACCAAACAACCTTAATACTATGGCATTTAAAGAAACCATTTTGGTATAATTAAGCATCCCGTGTATTAAAGACAACGTAAGGTCCTAATATCTTGAAGATAGCTTTTGGATTCAGGATTACTAAAGGGGTGATCAGAACCCAAAGATCAGATGGTAGCATGGCCCCACCAGAGTGGGTACAAGAACTGACCCACACATCTTTTAAAAAAAAAAAAAATACCATTTAGCGCTGCTTAGATATAGACCTGTAAATTACAAACAGAAAATTATGGGCTATGAACCAGGGAGGGGGTAGGAGAGGATGTGCTAGTATTTTCTGCAAAATTCAGTTTCCCTGAAAGATTTTACTTCAGTTGATCCCTTGAGCATTTCTGATCTGCACTGTGATCATTCCTGGGTTCTGACAAAGCTATCTGGCATCTTCTGCTCTTTCTCCCTCCCACACACAGGCCTAAGAAACCAATTTAGGTAGCAAGCACTGTCTTTTGACAATCGGATTATGACTGAAATCATTGCAGGAAGACAAACAAGATGAAGACAGATTGGAGCCTGTGAAAGTTCAGATAGCCTACTATAGTCTTTCTAAAAATAAAAATAAGTGCACTTCATGGGAGAGGTGGGGCTTAAAGGGTCATGTGAAAGAAAGGGATAGGAAGGTGCCATTCGGGAAAAGCCAAAAGATGCTGATAAGACACCTTATATGGTTCCAAGTTCTTTCCTAGCCCTGAATAATCCCCCAAAATACAGTGTTCTCACGTCAAACGATGATATATATGTGTTCACTCTGACCATTTAAATGATTTGTTTTTCCCCTTGAGAACTGGGCAGAGGTAACTGCTGGTGTAACAACCTCCCTCAAAAGCAGCGTTTTTCTGAGCAGGGTCAGGCTAAAATGAAACATCAGACCAAGACCATCCCCAACTTGGGGACTGACTCCTCACTGTGGAAGAAAGAACCCAGAGGAAGATAGGTATAAGGGGAAAATTTATTTTTATAAATGTATTAGCCTCCCAGATTTCCTAATTATGTGATCACGAAGAAGCTGACAAAGTGGCCTTCTTTGGTTTAATTGCCCCAAGGATTTGATAGGTAAAATTGCACATGATATTTATAAATGATGAAAAGCAAAATGGAATCTGCTTTTTTCCCCCAGCAGACATACTGTTGATAACATATATATAACTAAGGAAGTTTCTGTTTTGTTTTTGTATTTGGAATACAGTTCAAAATGAATATGTGAGTAAGTGATGGCCTGTTTCTCTTGCAACCCTTTGTCCTTTAATCCCAGCAGCTGGTTCAATACGAGGCCATCCTTAAATTTTTAGGGCCCAACTAGAACAAGACTAGGCAGTCTGGTCCAGCCCCACCTCATCTTTAATCAGAAGTGCCTTCAGAAGGACACTGGGAGGCCTGGTGAGAAAATTGAATCAGATGCTCAGATTAGGTTTAGACCTCCAAGATTTTTCCAAAACTAAATTAACTTATATCCTGGAGATACCTCCACAAATTCGTGTAAACTCATATAAGGCAGCTGGAAGAATGAAGGCTGGAAGAAAGAGATGCAGTGCTATTCCTTTCCTCTGATCACAACTGTGGTTCCCACACTCAGATATTTTCTTGGGTGTCTTATGTTCTTCTGTGAGGGCTTTCTG